CGGTGAACAGCCCTCTAGTGGACGGTAGTAACATTGCAACACTAAAAGAAATTCTTTTTAAGTTATCAGTTTTTGAGGTAGAACAAATTTTTATTTAATAAACCATTAATCAGCAATGAATTGTAAGTCCTTTATTTGTTTACATCCCTAGTTAAGCTAAAAAAAAAAATCAAGTTTAAATAAAAATAAAAATCAATAAAAAAATAAAATCACTAATTAAAACATCAACAAGAGTCCTGTCCCTTAAAGGTATAGTTGAGGATTTTTGCAGGTTTTTGATTGAAATGACCCGCTCCTGAGAAGGAACGCCAAATAAAGGCGTGGGAGAGCACCTCATGCACGCTCTGTTTAAAAGTTGCTGTTTGCATCGCTTATACAAGCTTCCTTTCCAAAAGATTTACAATTTTTCCACGATGTCAGAATCACCACCGCTAAGTGTAAATGAGGACAAGCATGTAGGACAGCCTTACGTTAACATATAACCCAGATGATTGACAATAACAAGGACCACTTATTTTGATGATCCACCCGGAAAAAGAACATCCACTATACCTTTGATGCAGCACAACAAAAAAACTACACAATAGCGTCTGTTTTATCATTCTGTAAACATCAGAAGGTAAAAAAACATTACCAGGAAACATGCTGCAAAATCTAATGAACTTATGTTTTATAACAAAGCATGTCTATTTTGGAGACGCACAGCCCAGGACCTGATTTAAAGCTTTATATTTTGGTGTTAGACGAGTAACACACAACAGATGCAGTGAAATTAGTTTCCCTGCAAACAGTCCAGTTGGTATCCAGAGATTATCCACTACCCAGATCGTATTTGAGGGATTATTCAGCTGCTCTGCCAAGACGGCAATACTTGTAACACAGGCATGGAGAAAGGCGGCATGGAGAACCATGTTCAGATTCTACCAGCTTGGTGGTTTATAATCCATAACATATCTCATTTATTTTGGGAATATCATACATTTCAAATTACAGTTCTGTTTTTCCAAGGGGCTTTTTAAAAAAAATAATTTCCTGAAGGGATATATTTTACTGAATATATCAAGTCACGCTGCTTTTCCTGATGGAAAAGCTCTCAATTTCCCCTCCTTTATTCTCTCTTTGCCTAAAGGGGGAAAAAAAATCTACCATCTGGGTTTCGGCAACTGCTTCTGCTTTTATTCTCAACTTACACTCATAGACGCACAAGCCAACACCTTAAAACGTACACTACAGCGGAGTACAGTCAAACAGCAGGTTAACAATGCAATGCAAAATCGAACCAACTGAAGCTTTGTTGTTCAAACAGAACATCTACAGCTGTTTCCAAACACTTAAGTCGACACCAGTCGTCCTAAATGGACTCGGTTTTGGCAGCAGAGTGACGGTCAGGCCTGATTTAGGGATATAATGCATTAGAGATCTGGAGAAAATGGCAGAGAAACTCGGATTTCAATAAAAACCTTTCAGGGAGCGATTGTGCTTCTGTTTGGCTCCTCCCAGACAAAGGGTTTGTGTCTTTCAAGGCAATAACATCATTTCTATCTGGTGAATTTGAAATAAAGCACAGAGTGTTTCATTTAGTAAACTTTGAGCAAATTCCTCCTGCTGCTTATCACGCAGATGGAGAGGTTGGTACCGCCAGCCAAGCGGGTCACTAATGACCACATGGTTCCTGTAATTAGTGGAGGAAAACAACGGCCACAATCCCTCCTCTCTCTGACAAACAACATGCAGGATAATTACTGATGGGAAACTATGGCTTGTTTACTTCAATCAGAGGATTTATACTTTCCATCTGCAGCCATTATAAAACAATACATGAACTTCACACTTTGTTTGATCTTCTCTGACTAAAATCTGCTTGTTTAAATGGTTTCTTGATTTATTCTAATTAAAAGTAGAATGAAGGCTCAGTTATAACAAATATAAGTGTTTATTTTAGTACATTTTCTGAAAGAATATGAAAAGGTTATTCATATAAAAGGTAAATGCTCTTGCAGACCTTTTTATTTGCTGTAATGAATTAATTTGCCTACTTTAACTGGACAGCCGCCATATTTTATTTTAACCAATGAAAATGATCCATGCAATCTTTCTAGCCTGTTTGACACAGAATCACACTGCGAAACACCAAGACCCAACTAATTTCATCTGACAGGCATGGGGCTCCGCTTTAGCACGCTTGTTGTCATGGTGATGTAATGCATTACTGCCAGTACACCACAGAGTGTGCATTAGTGTAACTGGGTGTCAGAACGGTTTGACATCATCACCTAAGACACCCAGCTGTAAACAGAAGCGCAAACATCTCCAGCAAAACAGAACACTCAACATCTGAAGCACTGACTTCCATAAGATGGTAAAGTTTATCACAACCCTGAATCGATTCCCAGCTCTAGAAGGAGATAAGAATAAAGGATATAAAGACAGAAAATATAGGATTCTGCTTCTATATTGGCAGAAAGATAGAAAGAACAGAATAAACAGAAAAAGTAAGACAGGTACAAACAACCATATATGAATAATGCACTGAAAAATAAACTAAATTACTACTGCAAGATGTTTTAGTGGCCGTCTTAACCTACAATGGTCTTTATCTGTACATACGGGTGTCTGTAACCACCTCGATTCAAACACCTGTGGGTTTTTCCATAAAATGCTCAGTGGTGGTTGTGAGGAGTCAAAGAACCACCCTGAGGCAGACAGGAACCCCAGAACTGTTTGATTTACTGCCTCTGTGCCATCTGAGTGATTTTCTGTACCATGCACCCAGGAAATTTGTAACTATCTGCACAGCCCTGAGCGGAAAAACATGGCTGCTGAGCCACAGCTCCTATTGGCAGAGGTTTGCAAATATAAACAACAAGTGACATCTTCCGCTTTAAGCCTGGCATACTCTTTGTGATATTTTGAACTAAGCTACAGCTCAAACCGTACAACAAAAACCGCAGGGTTTAAAAGTTCACAGCTTATGATGCATGTTCTCACACTGTGTGGCCTGACGCTCTGATGCGACCTTAGACAACCGGTTGAATTTCAAACATATTTCATATTCTCCCAACCTAATGATTCCTGATCAGGAGGTGGTCGTGAGAGGCTTCTCGCCCCTTGTATACTTCCCGATGCAGCACACACGATCAGGTTAAAACTAAGCCTGATCGAAAATGTTTTGCACGAATGGAGAATCGGCCCGAAAAGGGCAAAAAAAAAAAAAAAGTGGTGTATGCCCGGATTTAGCCCATAATTGTCAGTAGCTAGCAACCCTGTCTTTTATGACATGAATACTCTTTGCAAAATTTGGAGCCGTGTTTACTCAAGTAAGGTGGTGTCACGAATAGGGGTGTGCAAAATAATCGTCATGACGATGCATCACGATTCTGATTTTTGTGATCTACTGCATCGATTCTTGACGCCAAGTATCGATTCTTAATTTAAAAAAATGAACAAATAAAATACATGAATGGTTGGCGCACATCAGCCAAACCAAGTGGAATATAACTTCCAGTCCAGCAGATGTCGCTGCGGATGTGTTGACGCCCGCTGCCTTGTGTCACAAGCATTTCTGGCCGCGGGATACTGAGACGAGTCATTCGTAAATAAAACATGGAGGACACTGAGAAAATTTGCCCGGCTCCATCACATTTCGAGTAAGATGCTTGGATGCATTCTGGCTTTATAAACAAAGAAGGTAAAAACGTAATTGATATGATGCACGTAATTTGCAAAAGGGGAAATGTAATAAATTTGAATGTTTTCATTTCATTGGTTTAAAGGACCACTGAGGCCATGTAAACGGCACTGATTATCCTTATTTTGTTATTTTAAGTTTGATGAATCCTAAGATCTTTTTGTCAGTGTGTCCACGCCAGTAATAGAAATATTTGTGTCCAGTATTTGTTTTCATGGCAACACCTCCAAAAGTCATTTCAATAAATACAGCTATGTATGAATTCAGTTGCTTTCAGTTATGTATCAATTGAAGACACGATCCAGATCATACCCAGCCAGTCAGCCACTGGTAATGGCTGTATCTTTTTCCTACAGTGTTCAGTGAAAATATCGCAACGCATCGCGATGCATCGCAATATTTCAAGTATCGTGATGCATCGTGATAGAATCGCATCGTGGCATGTAAATCGTGATTCGAATCGAATCATGACTTCTTTGCCAATACCCACCCCTAGTCACGAACTTGCGGTTTATGTTGTACATGCCCCTACCCCCAGAGTCAGAGCCTTAACCCAATTAAGGCTAGCAAGTAATGCTCTTTTCCTTAATTGTTTTAGTAAAGCTCTGGATGAGGAATCTGAACAGAATAAAATTGAAGTCAGGAAGACGAATGTAAAAACAAATAAATGCAAATATGGATGTCTACTTCAAAATACCAGCACAAAAAACATTATAGTACTAAAATAAATCATCCCTAATCTTCATTCCATCACTTTATTTCAGTCATCAAAGTGCACATATACTGTATGACGAAGAACAACACACGATTAACTCAATGTTTCAATAAAAGCCCAGTGACTCCATCTTGTCGCAGTAAAGCCCGGCAGCATTTAAAGAGCCAGAGGACTTCCTGATTACTTCGTAGAAGAAAAAAAAACAGTCATAAAAAAGCCCAGGGAGAAAACTTCATAAAGAGTTCTGTGAATCCCTGACATCTCAGCATTGTCACATGACATAGACTCATCCAGAGTAGATGTTCAGATAACAACAACAAATACATGCATACAAACGGAGTTAAAGATCATTGCCTTCATTTTCTAAAAGTAAAATATCCAAATCATAAGAAAGTTTTGCAGCCAACACGGGGCCGGAAAATGACCCAAAACCAAAGACAAACTGTAAACTCAGCCTGGCAGTTAAAAAAAAAAACAATCCACTGGACTTTATTTCTGGATGGGAAGCAAAAAATCTTCAAACTTGGAAAGTAAGTCCAGTGGATTGTTTTTAAACTTTTTGGAATGACTATGACCTGGATGACCAGCTTATCTTACCTTTGGCAGGTATGCAGCATTCCGTATCCTGTTCACCATCTCCTGGCCCTCTGGGTGCACAGCAGCCACATGGGACCACATCCTCTCCCAGGTGACGCCCTCAATGGGAAAACCGCTCCGGTTAACGTAGAACAGAACCCCCCCATCCTTCTCCTCTTCCTCCTCCTCGGGGGAATGGTTGGGAGGAGAGGCGGAGGATTCCTCCCGGGTCCCGCAGCGCAGGAGACAGTGCGCGCTGGTGCTCTTGGACCGGCCGTGCCTGCTGAGCTTGGCTGGGGAGGTGCCAGTCCGGCTTGGGGAGTTGGGTCCTGTCATGGACCCGAGGAGCGGGGCCTATTCCCAGCCAGCTACAGCAGCTTCCTCCTGCTGCTCAGGCAGTCCATGCTGATCCTGTGCAGGCAGACCTGACAAGACAGGACCCACAGTGAGAATAAACATCCAGACTGATAAACTGTTTTCTCCTTCCAGACGTCTCTTTGCAGGCAGCGGAGATGAAACAGAGTGGAGCCTTATCATCAGAGCTTAGACCTTAGCTGTATTTAATTATTATTTTTCTACTGCTTTCCTTTATATGGTATAAGAATGCAAAACATTTAACTTTGTGTTGCTCATTATTATTTTTAACCAAATTCTTATTTCAATTACTTTATGTTGCCTCTACTGCTAAAAAAAGCTCCATAAGGAGGTGCCACTCAATTAATTATAATATAATATAAAAGAGGATTGGATCCATCTTATTTCTGTTTAATTTTGTGCCACTGTAGGGTTGCCAGGTGGTTTTAGAGGCGTTAACATGGAAGTTACAGGTCTAGTGCCCCTAGTGGCCAAAAGTTACACAGTACAGCTAAAGGTAGGAAAAACAGAAACTCCTTTTATTGAGTGTCTGAATATGTCACCTTTTCCTTATATATTCAGCAATTTAAACCAACAACAATCTCCTTCATCCTGCAATTTAAACATTTACTTCTCCTCCTCCTTCATCAATCCACATGTTGCTCACATTTTGCTAAACAGTCTCCTCTTATACTTTGATTCCAGCTCCAATCCATACTTTGTGACCACCCGAAAAAATTTTAAATAAATAAAAAATTACTTCAAAATCTCTTTAGGGCTGTAGATAATCCTGTTGCTGGTGTACTTTTTCCTTCCACTCAACTTTCCATAACTTTCCTTTCAGGACACTCAACAACTAGCTTCTTTAACAATTAGCTTTTGTTGCTAACTCTTATCATGGAGAGTCTGAAAGCTCCTAAAGAAATGAACGATTTAAAGGAAAAAAAATTGACCACAATATCACATCTCTGTATAAACAGTGTGTAGGATTATGTTGTATTCTGCAAAACTGAGTTTGGACCTTTATCTGTATTCTGCAATCATTAAAAATCAACAGATATTGCAAAGCGACCGCTGTCTAAAAAAGGCCAAACACATCACAAAGGACACTTCTCATCCCGAACATTATTATGTTGGAAAAAACAAATTATTATTATTAAATAATAATGTTATTTTGTAAAGCAACATATTACGGAAGAGGATTAGGACTATCAGTTAACTGTTTTTTTTAATATGGGAAAAAAGTCTGAATTTTGACTTTTTTCTCAGAATTCTGACTTTAATCTCAGAATTTTGGATCTTAATGTAGATGGGCACCATGAGGGAAGAAATGTGGGAGCGCTCAGCTTCACTGACAAAGATGTGAGTTGTGTGAGAGTGCCAGTAACACATTGGTGGAAAATGACGTAATATGGCGACTTTTTACGTGGCCGAGGGGCCCCCGGTGATGCTATTTCTTTAATAGAAGAGCAGAAGGTGGTTAAAACAAGAGAGCTAGATTAGTCTCTAAAACAGACATGGCCACGGCTTGATGCTAACATGTCACACTGGAAAAACGATCTAGAAATAAGTAAAAATGTCTTAAATTAAGTGTATTTACCCTTGATTTGAGTAGGTAAATGGGATAGTTTGCCAATGGAATCAGTATTTTTACCCTTAAAATAAGATAATTATATAGTATTCACTTGAAATAAGAGAATGCAATTGTGTTTTCTTATTTTAAATCTAAATTGTCTTGTTCTATTGGCAAGATGTCTCTTTTATCTCCTCAAATCAAGAACAAATGCACTTATTTTAAGAAAAAATGACTTATCTAGATTTGGATTTTTGCCAGCTTGATGCTGTCAGAATTAATTTAGAATTCTGAGAAAAAATTCAGATTTCTGAGAAAAGTCAGAATTCTGAGATTAAAGTCAGAATTCTGAGATTAAAGTTTGAATTCTGAGATAAAAGTCAGAATTCTGAGACTAAAGTCAGAATTCTGAGATTAAAGTCAGAATTCTGAGATTAAAGTCAGAATTCTGAGATTAAAGTCAGAATTCTGAGATTAAAGTTTGAATTCTGAGATAAAAGTCAGAATTCTGAGACTAAAGTCAGAATTCCGAGATTTAAGTCCAAATTCCGAGATTAAAATCAGAATTCTGAAAAAAAGTCAGAATTCCGAGAAAAAAGTCAGAATTCTGAGAAAAGAGTCAGAATTCAAAGACTTAAAGGAATAGTACACCCAAAACATGATTAGCCTTCATTTTCTACTCACCCCCATGCTGAACAACACTCTGGAGTACTTTTTTGATATCTCAAATGCATCTGGAGATCTGGGAGGCTTCTTGCTGTCTGCTGACATTCAAATAATGGAGGTCTATGGCGCCCGAGGCAGAAAGGTCCATAAAAGTCCACAAAAAACGTGTCAATATTCCTCCATACTGCTCGTCCAATGTATTCCAAGTGTCCTGAGTGGGTAGCATCCAGAATTTACACGAAACGAAGTCATTTAGAATGTTTTTAGAGCATAAACAGTAGTGTATAGGATTTCCTAAAAGCGAGTTCACGAGTCTACGGAAACCGCGGCAGACCAAACCAGATGAAAGTGCGCATTCAGCGTCTGCTCTGATGATAATGCAAGCGTAGAAGAAGAAATGTGCTGTTTACCTGTGCAAAGAAAGAAACAACGAAAGAAAAATGTCTGAGGACTTCAGTGTTGAGGAAGAGCATGAGTTCTTAGCCGAGCTGAATGCGCACTTTCATCTGGCTTGGCCTGCCGCGGTTTCCGTAGCGTCATGAACGCGCCGGCGCGCGCTTTCAGGAAATCCTATACACTACTGTTTATGCTCTAAAAACATTTAAATGACTTCGTTTCGTGTAAATTCTGGACGCTACCCACTCAGGACACTTGGAATACATTGGACGAGCAGTATGGAGGAATATTGACACGTTTTTTGTGGGCTTTTATGGACCTTTCTGCCTCGGGCGCCATAGACCTCCATTATTTGAATGTCAGCAGACAGCAAGAAGCCTCCCAGATCTCCAGATGCATTTGAGATATCAAAAAAGTACTCCAGAGTGTTGTTCAGCATGGGGGTGAGTAGAAAATGAAGGCTAATCATGTTATGGGTGTACTATTCCTTTAACTAAGAATTCCTACACTAAAGTCAGAATTCTGAGACTAAAGTCAGAATTCTGAGACTAAAGTCAGAATTCCGAGACTAAAGTCAGAATTCCGAGACTAAAGTCAGAATTCCGAGACTAAAGTCAGGATTCCGAGACTAAAGTCAGAATTCTGAGACTAAAGTCAGAATTCTGAGACTGAAGTTGGAATTCTGAGACTAAAGTCAGAATTCTGAGACTAAAGAAGAATTCTGAGACTAAAGTCGGAATTCCGAGACTAAAGTCGGAATTCTGACTTTTTTCCTCATATTATACTAAAATCACATTTAAAAATCAGTCAACTTTTTTAATTTTTAAGTGGCCCTAATCCTCTTCCGTAACATATAGTTAATGCCAACGTCAATAAATCTAGTTTTTGTTGACAGAAAACTAGATAAATTAGCATGCTATACTAAAATTGGTTATTTCTATTATAACAGAAGGTATTTTCTGATTTAAAACACACGCATTACATTGTTGTAGTGAAAAACTATTTCACGTAGACTGACCTATTGAAATAATAAATGAATTTAAAGTATCATCGGTATTTCACGAAAATACAGAAAAGTTCATTTGTCGAGTTTTGCATTTCCTTCGACCGTATCCGAGGAAATATCCCAACCGTTATTAATCCGAGCCTACCGTTCTCTCCAGCGGGGCCCCGGCTTCACACCGTTAACCTATTCGTGGCTTCAAACCACATTTTTACAGCAAAAAACCTCTATGAGAAGATGTAGGTTCCATTCATAAAAAGGCGACCTTGTCCACTCCAGGCTGTAAAGTCTTGTTGTGGACCGAGGCTTTGTAACTTCACCCTTTTTTGTAGTTGTCAAGCTAACAAGTGGCAACCGTACGCTACAAAGAGTGTGAAGAAACGTACTTTCAAAATAATAGCCTGGAATTATTAATTGTACATTTATCAGGTAAAAACACCAAATGTCTTTGCTCAAATTAATTTAAATGTGCAGCAAAAAGGTTTGTGAAAACAGCACGTTTAATGTAATACACAATACTTAGAATAAACAAATTCACCCCTCTTATTCTGAAATTAACATCCGGAAGTATAGTGGATTTTACTTCTTACTTGACAGCGCTCCTCTATCTTTGGTCTCAGTACGCTGCAGTGGCCGCTGCCTTGCCTTCTCCTTTGTGCATTTCCTGCCTTTAGCAGGCTCTAAAGCACCTCGGTATCCACTGCCCATGCGAAAAATTAGAATTCACCATAATACAAGGCTTAGTGTTTCCGTTACATGATTGAGATAACGCAGCTCATCTGCCGTCCTCTCTAGCTCCTCTCTGCAGTGGCCAAAGCTTGGCGACATATGATTGGTCGAGCTAACAAAGAGGGGCGGGGCTAATAGGGCCTTCTACCAAATTTGGAACGGTTGAAGAAATCTGATTGGTTGATTTTGACAACAAGCGATAAATCTGCAACAACTATTTCTTTTACTCCAAAATATAACTGTTGATTTTCTTTTACATTATGTCGATATTGTATTCTGTCGGTGAAATTTAACTTAATTTATCTGTGCTAAAAGTAATAAACACATATTGTACGACTATATTTTATACATTAAAACCTTATGGACGTATATGATGCATTTAAACACATTGTTTTAAAAGAGGCCGTGTCTGTTTCATTCCAAACATACTGTACTCCACAAACATAATCATACCTCAACAACCAGCTTTAATGTACTATATTGAGATCTCATGTGATAGAAGATGACTGGAGGAAAAATTAGTCATCATTTAGTCAACATTTTTGGAGAAAAAAAAAGTACATGCAATCAAACTCAGACAAACCAGCTGTACACATCTAAAAATCTTACTTTATTTCCAGTGGTTCCTTGCAAAATAAATCTTAGCTTGGATGAAAAGGTTATTTTTATGCAGGCAGTCCACATCAAAAACAGATATATCAATCAATATTTTGTGCAAAATAAAAATCTTGGACTCAGGTTACACATAGTCATATTTAACAAACATATAAACTTTAGAGGAAATAAAGAATGGTATAATTTAAGAGCATTACACAGGAGCTAATTGCATAACCTACACCTCCCCCTTGTGGAGACTGCTAGCCTGTATAATCACACTGGATGGATTGAGTTTAGTATACATTCAGTTATTGCCTGTTTTAAAGCCACCTTTCCAATCCATAGTTCAGCTCGTGTTTGCAAATGTTTGCAACTGTGATCAAAATGTTGCCTCCCCTCAAAAAGTGAAAGGAATTTTATATCTTTTAATGTTTTTGTTGCATAAAAATCTTGACCTTCCAGTAGAAAAATTAACAAATACACAATGTTGGTTATCTAATAGATGCATAATGGTCGCTTGGATGAGGGGATGCTCCAACTCTGACGGCGCTGTAGGTGACTGCAGTATCACTTCCTCGAACCTAAAAGGGACGCAGTGCAGCATTGAATTACTGCAGATGAACACAAACGATACACAGAGCTGACAATCAATCCCAAAGAGGGATGCATATAACTATTCAGTTCATTATCACAACACAAAAGATCCTCATCTGATAGTCACCTGATTGTTAGTCTTCGTGAGGATGATAGTAGCATATGAGATGGCTGCATCTGTTTCATCCTACACAGTAAAAAAAAGGTCAGGATTTTCGTTTAAATCAATTCTCTCTTCGTGTCTCTTTATAAGCATTTCTGAGTATGTCAATGGTAAAAAATTCTTCATAAATGTGAACAACATTCTATTCATAAGGCTGACATTTTGGGTATCTTTAATAGACTGCAGGTGGCTGTTTAAACTGCATCCAGGATGATTTCTGAGGCAAAATGAGACACTGTAAGGTGTGGGTTTAATACCTGGATGATAAATACACCTATATTAAAACAATGTCATCTGAGGGTAGGTTGGAAAATTCTCCAAATTAGAGCTGGTCTCCAGAACCTCAATCTACACTGTTCCAACAGGAAAGTTAATGCAGCAGAACATCTGCATTTTCCAAATAAGGTAAAAATTTGTAAAAAAAAAAAAATGTTGTGTAAAAACAAAAAAATATTTTCCTGAAGCCTTTGTTCATAAATAGATGCATATATTTAAACATCCAATCTTTCTAAAATAAATAAATTTAGGATGATCTTTCAGCTTTGAGTTCTGGGAGGAACATCTTTTCAATTCTCATTTCTTAGCCGCATTTCTTTAAAACAACTGCAATAATTTTTCTGCATAACAATGATATTTAAATATACTTATACATACATTAACTGTATTTAGTTGTTATTTATCTCTAAAAACAATGAAGACTCCCAGATGACATGCAGAGTCAGAATTTTCTAAAACACAATATCTAGTTCTGGGGAGAGCACACATTTTGTATTATAATTTTTAATGTTCGTTTATTTACCACTCTATTTTTGAAGTTTATTGTTAATATATAAAATAATGTAAATTGGCAATAAAGCAAAGGAAACATGACAACCAATCTATCTACTTTATGCCTCCTCCTGACTTATAGAACTGCTCCACATATCAACACAGTGCCTCATATTTTCAAATAGCTTCCATCTGTCCACCCCACACAGACAAAACACTCTATCATTGGTCCTCCTTGACCTTCTGAGGAAACCACAGACCATCGACTATTTTAATAAATAACTTAAGAGCATGATTTTCAAAAGTTTTTATAGTGTTTAAACATGTTTTCATTAGGAGTTTTTACTTCTTTTGTATTTTCAAGTCATTCTATATGGCAGCATTAGGACATGCTCCAGAAATCAGTGTAGGTTTTGGGCTGGCATTCAGTTTCTGTGGTAACCAAATATTTTATAGATGATGGTTGTCTTTGCTGCTTCAATTACTGGACTCAGACATTTATCACATATAAGCTTTGTTTACATTCCTGCCACTTTTGACAGAAGAATGTTAGCTCCAGGTACTCAGAGATTCACTTCCATACAGAAACTCCACATTCATATCTTCAGGTAACACAGAGTACATGTCAGACTTAATAATATTACTTTAGCGATAGTTTAAAAGGTGTTGCTTTATTGTATATCTGTACCATGTCTTTCGGTTGTGCTGTTCTTTTTTCATCTCGTTGCAGGTGATAAAGCAGACTGAAAATGTCTTGTTATTGTCTCCTTTCTATCTCTTCTTTCTTTCATCTTTTCTCTCTTTTTTTCTTTTTTTTTCCTTTTCTTCTTCTGTTTTTCTGCTCTATTTACATTGCTGTGTCCATATAAACTGTAAAACTCCCTGCATAATTATAATAAAGCAATTTATATGCATGAAAAAAGTGGAGCAATATGGCAATTGCCATACTGCTACACTTGTGAAAGTAAAATATATTGGGCTCTTTTTGGCATCAAGACAATTATTGTTATTGCCACATTGCCAGACAGGACACTGTAAAAAAAAAAAAAAAAAAAAAAAAAAAAAAAAAAAAAAAATAAGAAGGATGTTAGCTGCTAGCCAGAGAGTTTCTATGGAGATAGTTGAAAATGATACAGAGAATGGATATTAGTATTAAAACAGCAGGTGTGCCAATTTCCTGACTCTCAGTGCAATGCTTGACTCTGCAAACCAGAGATGCAGAGTCTCCATTCCTGCCTACCTACACTATATTGCCAAAAGTATTTGCTCACCTGCCTTGACTCACATATGAGCTTAAGTGACATCCCGTTCCTAATCCATAGGGTTCAATATGACGTCGGTCCACCCTTTGCAGCTAGAACAGCTTCAACTCTTCTGGGAAGGCTGTCCACAAGGTTTAGGAGTGTGTTTATGGGAATTTTTGACCATTCTTCCAGAAGCGCATTTGTGAGGTCGCACACTGATGTTGGACGAGAAGGCCTGGCTCTCAGTCTCCGCTCTAATTCATCCCAAAGGTGTTCTATCGGGTTGAGGTCAGGACTCTGTGCAGGCCAGTCAAGTTCATCCACACCAGACTCTGTCATCCATGTCTTTATGGACCTTGCTTTGTGCACTGGTGCACAGTCATGTTGGAAGAGGAAGGGGCCAGCTCCAAACTGTTCCCACAAAGTTGGGAGCATGGAATTGTCCAAAATGTCTTGGTATGCTGAAGCATTCAGAGTTCCTTTCACTGGAACTAAGGGGCCAAGCCCAGCTCCTGAAAAACAACCCCACACCATAATCCCCCCTCCAACAAACTTTACACTTGGCACAATGCAGTCAGACAAGTACCGTTCTCCTGGCAACCGCCAAACCCAGACCCGTCCATCAGATTGCCAGATGGAGAAGCGCGATTCGTCACTCCAGAGAACGCGTCTCCACTGCTCTAGAGTCCAGTGGCGGCGTGCTTTACACCACCGCATCCGACGCTTTGCATTGCACTTGGTGATGTATGGCTTGGATGCAGCTGCTCGACCATGGAAACCCATTCCATGAAGCTCTCTGCGCACTGTTCTTGAGCTAATCTGAAGGCCACATGAAGTTTGGAGGTCTGTAGTGATTGACTCTGCAGAAAGTTGGCGACCTCTTCGCACTATGCGCGTCAGCATCCGCTGACCCCGCTCCGTCAGTTTACGTGGCCTACCTCTTCGTGGCTGAGTTGCTGTCGTTCCCAAACACTTCCATTTTCTTATAATACAGCTGACAGTTGACTGTGGAATATTTAGGAGCGAGGAAATTTCACGACTGGATTTGTTGCACAGGTGGCATCCTATCACAGTTCCACGCTGGAATTCACTGAGCTCCTGAGAGCGACCCATTCTTTCACAAATGTTTGTAAAAACAGTCTGCATGCCTAGGTGCTTGAATTTATACACCTGTGGCCATGGAAGTGATTGGAACACCTGATTCCAATAATTTGGATGGGTGAGCAAATACTTTTGGCAATATAGTGTATACTATGCCTGGGGGAGTGTTGGCCTATTGGTAAGAGCACTGCGCTTGTGCTCTGAGAAGGTTGCAAGTACCCAGTTCGAACCCTACAGCCTGCACTCTGGGTTCCTGAGCAAGAACCTTAACCCCACAATGGCAGCCCACTGCTCTCCAAGAGGATGGGTCAAAATGCAGAGTGAATTTCCAAATTGTGGGACAATAAAGGGAAATTTTAAGTGAGTTACAATGTGTAGATAGGAAAAATGGGAATGTTACACTGCAAAAACGATCTAGAAATAATTAAATTAAGTGTGTTCACCCTAAATTTGAGTAGGTAAATTAGCTAGTCTGCCAATGGAATGAGTAATTTTACTCTTAAAATAAGATAATTAGATAATATGCACTTGAAATAAGACAATGCAATGGTGTTAAGAAAAAAGGACTTATCTAGATTTAGTTTTTTTGCAGTGTGCTGCTCCTCAGCAGTGGCCCTCCTCAATAACAAGCCATTTACAATCCTTCCATCACCTCTACATGGTGTTTAATTAGTTTTACAGGTGTGGAGACCACTTAATTATTAACACAAACGGTTTTCTTTGTTTGGCAAAAAGTGAGTAGGAGGTACACTGCTTTACAAATCATAAACACTTACCAGGTTTTCATCTAAGTGTGTTCTCTTCCCTACAAAGAGCAAAGGGAAGGAAACACTTCAGTGTCCACATTATAAACAGATCTGTTGTTTTAGATGCGTTTTCCCACCTTTAATCCTTCTCCTTTTGATCAGAAGCCAAGCAGCAAACAGGCAAGCCACCAAACTGACACCTACAACGAGGAACAACCACCACCATGCATCTAAAAATAGCAGAAATGTTTGGTTTTCGCTTATTCTTTAAAATGTAGGTACATAAAAGAGGTTTTAAAAGCAATCTAAGGCTACAATCTGATTTATATTTCTACAAATAAAAGACACATCAGTTCTGTATCTGTGATAAAAAAAAACGCTAAAGCCAAAAGAAACATTGATGCACAGAAAATCTTTCCACACTCACTAGATTTTTCTTTTCCATTGTCTTCCGATTGTTGATTTACTCTTCCTATTATCATGAATTTCATGTCAAAAAAAAAAAAAAAAATTAAAAAACCAATACATTGGCCTAATTTATCCGTTTACATGATAAAACACAGAGATTTTCCAACGCGGTAGTTTTTCTTACCTGAGCTTCGAGATCCAAAGACAAACATCTGCTTTCTTTTGGCTCCAGTTTCTGTTACTTCACATTGCAGTGAATTATAATAGCCCGGCTCATAAACGTAACGAGAAGTCTGAAAAGTGACTTTGGCAGCACAGTTTGACTGTTCTGTCTCCAGAGCTTTGTTATCTTTATCAATATCTTGACCCCTTAAAAGCCATTTTAAACTGTAACTACATGGATCATTGGAAAGCACAGAGCAGCTTAGCGTCACCTCATCATCCTCCTCCTCTGCAGTTACTGTTGAAGGAGCAAACAAAGTCCTGAGGTTAACTGATGTTTAAACATTGGTGGAGCTCAGAATATGTATATACAATTATATATATATATATATATATATATATATATATATATATATATATATATATATATATATATATATATATATATATATATATATATATATATATATATACACTCTGAATCTATACTCACAGTTAACGAGAGATAAAAAGGCAGAGTATGTAGTCTCCTTTCCTGTTTGGTTGAAAACTTGTTGGCAGTGATACGTTCCAACATCTGCAGCTGTGACTCTCTGAATGATCAGAGAGCAGTTTGCTGAGACATGCAGTCTATCTCCTCTAGCTCTGGAAGCCTGAGTTTCATTAGTTTGACCGAATTTAACCAAATCTATGGCCGTTTTCTGAGCTGGTTTACTGAACAACCAGTTGGTTCGTATGCAGTTATTCTGATCAATCATGTTTTTACAGGACAGCCTGGCTTCATCTCCTCCTCTCACTAGGACGGATGGAAAACTTTGCTTTGTTGCTGCAGAGAAAAGCAAGAAAAGGCAAGAAGCTGAAAGTAAAATATCTGTTGCCTAACAAGAAGAAAATTCCCTTCATTCAGACGGAAACTAAAAGCATAAAGCAGTCAGACGCCTCCTCACCTTTTACCTGCAGCACCAGAATCAGACCTAGAGACAAGCTGAGTGATCTGAATCCAGACATGTTTTCTTTCTCCTCTTTGTGTGATCTGTCAGCAAACCGTAGTAACATCTGCACAGTGTGCACTTCCTGAGTTTATAAATAATTTCCTTTTTACTCACAGTTCCTCTTTTGTCATTTCAACTAATCTCATCTGACAATGCGTCAGAGTTTTCTCACTCTGGTATACATTTAACACTGATATATGAAAATTTGACTTGCTGCAGGACCAGACCAGCACCTCTCTCATCTTAGGTGTTTGATTCTTCAATTACAGAGTGTCTTTGAGCTCTATGAACTCATTACTCTTGTAGTGGCGATTGTTTGTCAAACCAAACACCCAATAAAGTTCCGATAAGCCACTACTTAGGCACTGGGGTCATGTTTTCTTGACGCAGGCAAAAGAAGTTAAAGTCCAAACTTGTAGATTTTCAGTTGATTTATTTCCTATATTTTGCAACATTGCAGAGTTCAAACATTCCCTTGCTCTGTCACCTCTCCTGCACTGGTAAAAACCCATAGGCCCCTAACCCAAATGCCTGCTGGTCCTTACCAGGCTTCTACATTTATAGAAAGTGGACCGCCCACATTTCTTCCTGTTTTACATAATAAAGACAGAAAAAATGATAATGATAATTGATTCTTTAATCCAACTGTTTTTAATATTCTTTTTTTGTTTCTGCATTTTTTATTTTATTAATTTTTTATTTTTCCTACTTGCTTTGATTCTGTTTTATCTTCCTGTATTTTAATCATGTAAAGCACTTTGCATTGTCTTTGTACTGAATTGTGCTATACAAATAAATTTGGCTTGCCTTGCCTTGCCTTGCCTAAAACAACAAAAAATAAATACACAAAATTCAACAATGAACCTATAAATAAAAACTGTAACTAATAAAAAAAGTTTAGGAATTAACACAATTCAAATGGATAAAGAAATAAAGAATAAATAGCTCCAACAACTCTGATGTTTGATTACTTTTTAAGAAATCAGAATTTTTACCTCCCACACACCACCAGGGGGCAAACTCTTGGATGTTGCAGGATCAGAAAACAGAATTTTTTTTTGTCTTATAGCAGCAAAAATAAAAAATCTTTTAGTCACCTCTCAATTATCATACAATCCTTGAAAAGAAATCTTTGTTAAAGGCTTAACTTTTTTTTCTCCAATTCTGATTAAAAAAGTAAGAACATTGCTTTGATGTTTCCTTCATAGTTTCCCCCACCCTATTTTTTCTTATTTGAAACTTTTCCTTTATGTGGAATTCTTATAGTGTTGGTGTGCTAAAATCCATCTTGTACCACTTCACATTTCAGTCTGACCCAAAAAGGGTCAGACATCCATCTATCTTCCATCATGCTTTATTCCTGCTGGGGTGGCCAGGGGTGCCTATCTCCAGCTGTCTACGGGTGAGAGGCGGGTTCCACCCTGGACAGGTCACCAGTCCATCACAGGGCAACACAGAGACAAACAGGACATACAACCTTTCATGCACACACTCACACCTAATGAGAATTTAGAGAAGCCAATCAACCTAACAGTCATATTTTTGGACTGTGAGAGGAAGCAGGAGTACCCAGAGAGAACCCATGCATGCTCAGGGAGAACATGCAATCTCCATGCAGAAAGACCCTGGTCCAGGAATCAATCCCAGAACCTTCTTGCTGCAAGGCAGCAGTGCTACCCACTGCCCCATTGAGCAGCCCATGATGAAAACAACCACAGCCAAACCAATATAAACCTGAAAGTGCAGAAGGACGTAACCTGCAGCTGTGGTTGTCACATCTGTTTAGCCAGAATCCATGTTTTTATCATTAAAAGAGAAACAGCAAGTGTAAAATATAAAGTGATGTTTGTTATGGTGTCTGCTGGTATTCCTGACAGAAATAAAAAAATAAAATTCTCCAAGGACCAATAGACCCGCTCCATTCTGAGAGGAAATATGTTTTACTCAAAGGCCATTTTTTATGTATTTCAATAAAACTTTTAAATCTATTTCTAAAGGACTTTTTGGTTCTCTTTGGTCAGTATTTTTTTTTCCAGATAAAGGCCAATTGTGCCCCCTTGTGGACAGTGACGAGTCAGCTCCACTAGTGAAGAGTCAGGTTCTCCAGTACCTATAGACTATAAAGCAGGCATCCCCAAAGTCAGTCCAGGAGGGCCGCTTCCCTGCAGGTTTTAGAGGTTTCCTTGCTCCAGCATAGCTATTTTAATTCAAAGCTGATTAACAGGCTTTTATTCAACTGCAATCATCATAATCAGCTGTGCTAAAGCAGGGAAACCCTCTAAAACCTGCAGGGTTTGCAGCGGCCCTCCAGGACCGGCTTTGGGACGCCTGCTATAAAGCATAACATGTTATTATGCATTCATATATTACAGCACCTGGGTTGAATTTTCTTCACCTCTTGCCTACTGTGGCCATTGTACTTGTTCGACTAAACAATCACAATTTTACATCAATTCTTCACCACATTTGCAGCAGACTCACAAGATATCAGAGGCATACATTTGCAAAACAAAAAAAAGAATCTGGTCTATAAGGTTGCATATAAAACTGCGAGCCAATCAAGACAAAACCTTTAATAACCGCTAATCAGACGAATATATGCTGTACAAAATATATGTAAAAAGAAGTGGATTGTTTTAATTAAACTGTGTTGAGAGAATAAAAGTCTAAAAGAAATAATTGTTACAACAATATTTCATAAATACAAAAAACAAAACTTTTCCCCTCCGTTTACTAATTTAGACTAATACAAAAGAAAAATCAATCATAAACTCAATCATAATCTCAGCTTCTATGTGTTGAACTGGTTCTGGCAGTGTTGCATAGTAAAAGTAAAAAAAGTAAAAGTAAAAATACTTCACTACTGTACTTAAGTATATTTTGGAGTACTATATACTTTCCAAAAGTATACATTTTTTTGAGAACTTTCACTTTTCCTTCACTACATTTAATTTAATTGCATACTTTTACTCTGATACATTTCCAATGTTTGGTTTAGTTACTAAGTAAAAAAAACAAACAAACAAAAAAAAAAAACGAGCGAGGGAGGGAGAGAAACGCAAGTGCTTTGACTCCACCTACTGACTACAAAGTCGGGTCTTGCCTTGGCTTGTTCATCAACACCAACAGGATACACCTGTTTCGCAAAGCCAGTCTAAATTTATCCTACACTTGGTTGTGTATATTATTTTAAGTGAATTTAACCTTCAAAGTTTACCAAAATGTTAAAAAAAAATGTCATTCAAACTGCAATACTTTTAACTTATACTTTTCACTACATTACTTCAGTACATCTATTTTTACAGTGATTCTTATACTTAAGTACAAGCCATTTCAGATACTTTAAGACTTTTACTCAAGTAACATTTCAGTCAGTGACTTGGACTTTTACCAAAGTCATATTTTGGAGAGGTACTTTACTCCGAGGTTTCAGTACTTTATACAACACTGGGTTCTGGGTTGCTCATTGTCGGTTCTGACTGAACTTATTGAGTTAGTTTTGTTTACAATAATTCCTGAAGCACATAACATCAGATTTATAAATATAATTATTTCTTATTTTATGTATTTATTTATCTTATTTATTTATTCATTTCAGGCAATTACATGCATTGAAAGGTTTTAGTCTAATTTTAGTCACTTTTATGTTACAATTCATTAAACAGCAAAGCTTTACAATAGCAACCTCTTAAACTCCAACTGTTTAACTGGCAGTGTTGGGCAGGTTACTTTGAAAAAGTAATTAGTTATAGTTACTAGTTACTTCTCCCAAAAAGTAATTGAGTTAGTAACTGAGTTACTCCACAATAAAAGTAACTAGTTACTAGTAAAAGTAACTATTGGGTTACTTTTGCGAGCGTATGAAATTAATAACTGGGGATGTCTAATTCTGAAATCCTGTGTTTGGGTTGTTAAAGATACTGCAACATGTAGCTATATCTATCCATCGATCCATCCATCCATCCATCCATCCATCCATCCATCCATCCATCTAGGCTAACAATTGATCGTTCACGCTCTCCGTAGTTCCCCTGTGGCGCGAGCACAGGGCGGCTGTTACACGCCTTTATCGAGCATGCGCGTTTCCTGTCGCTTGCGCGGTGAATCGTGCCGTGCTGTGCGGAGATGCAGGGGAAACCGTATCTAATGGGGAAACGCAGCTCGACGTAACACCAGTATTTCCATCTGGAAAGCGCTGTTTTGCCGCTGGAGTCCTCCTCACTCTCCATCCTCCACTCTTTTATGACAAGGCGCGCACGAGTCCTATCATGAAAAAAGGTTAATTGTGCGACCTGAGTAACGTGCAGTAATGGGATGTCGGCAATTGTAACTGCGTTATAGTTACAGTAAGAGTAATCATTTTGATTACTCGTTGCTAAAAAAAGGTAACGCCGTTACTCCCATCACTGTTAACTGGCTCAATCTTCTGTTTATTCTGAAATCTACCATAATCTCCTTTGTTTTGTTGACATTCATGTTTCCACATCACAACACAAAGTGATTTGAACGCTCCCTGTACGCAGCTTCCTGTGCATATTTGATGCACCCAATGATTGTAGAGAAATCCAAGTATTTCTGCAGGTGACATAACTGTCTGGTGCTGGAATACAGAGTTGTTCATCGTAAAAATGAATGGTTAGACTACCGTGCCCTGTGGTGCTCCTGTGATGCGAACTGCTAGATCAGATAGTTGACCCTTCAGTCTAAAAAAATGCGATCAGTTTGTAAAGTATACTTTCATCCAGGGGATTCTTGGTGCATCCACCTGAGTCTTCTGGATATTCTGCCTAAAACTATATGAACCCTGCACAGGTGTGGTTAATGATTGGGTGGATAAAAGTTTTTGTGTTGCGATTTATTTAATGCATGAACAATTGAGCTGTTTTCTTTGAATTCTAACCTCCCAGAAACAAATGTTTTATTCTAAATATGAAACATTAAAACTCTTTAATGTAAACTGTGTTTTTATTCAAGAAAGAATTGTAACAAACATTAAATAAAAAAGGTTACATCACTTTAAAAAAAAAAAATTCAACATTTATCGCTTTATAGTTGTTATATTTATACTAAACTGAAAACAAAGAGCTAAAGCATTTACATCTGATTTCATTTTTTTTGTCTTGGTGAACTTTGGCGAAGGAATAAGCTATTTTTTTGTATTTAACACCCTGATCACAGTTGAGGAATGAATTCTAGATGATTTACCAATAATTTAAAAACTAAAAAAAGGAAACTATCAGATATAAGTAAATTGGAAATAGTCAGATGTCACAGAAAAGACCAGAACATCTCACCTGTTCAGCCAGGCCAATGATTGCCCCTAACGACCCCCTTTTCAGAGGCATAGACCAGTATCGGGTATTGCAGGCTAACAAAGACCTCAACGACTCCCCATTCCTAAGGGGCGGACCTGTTCTTCAGGTTCAATTTGCATGTTTTCTAAGCCAAAACAAGACTTTGTTTTGGGCCATTCTATAAAGCTACGAACTCTGCCTGGATGGGAAGCGAAACATCTTCAAACTGGGAAACTAAGTCCAGTGGATTGTGTTTTTTTTTTTTACATTTTTGGATTCAAGTTGAATAGTTTTTGTTTCACTGAAACCTGGCTAACACCATCTAACGCCCTCCAATTACCTTAGATAAGTCACAAAAGCAATCAGCTGATATGGTAATGATTACTTCTAGTAACAAGATATTTCTCTTTTCATTCATTTAGGTTGCGGATGGTTGCGTCGAGGCTGCCAGGATCAGCAGAATGAACCTTCACAGAGCTGTAGGTCACCGAGTCACCTTCTTCCTCTCCATCCTTAACCTGAGCACAGAGTAGGAAAAAAACGGTTGTGTCAAACTCAGAAATATATTTAAGTCATTGGAGGAGACATGATTCTGATCCTGAAAGCTGAAAATGGCAGCATTATCTCTGGCTCTAATTCTCGCTGGAAACTGATGTCAACATATTCTAACATCACACAGGAAACTAAGCAACAGCAGCTGTAGTAATTCTGCTTCTTTAGCTCCTAATTTCAACATAGAGTCAAAAAGAAGGAAGACTTACCCCAGTTTTACTATTTGCCTTCTTTGTGTGATGAATGGTGGAGTACGTCATGTGATTATCAGGATCAGCCTCAACAGAAAAGAAAAACAGTTGTGAAATACATTTTCTGTAATGAACCGAAGACAGATGGACCCAGTATTCAAGGAGAGACAGTCAGTAGGACAGTTCAAAAAGTTTATTAAATAAAACAAAAACTAAAGTGGAGCTGTGGCTCGTGGACACTGCAGGATGGGGAGCGGGGCAACGCCCATTCAAAGACACTCTGGTTTAACAGCCCAGTCCAAGAATGTCCCCAAGTGCTGCAGTCGCAGAGGACATGCTGGAAGCCGATCCTGGTCAGGGATCCAGAACAGACAGGAACAGAATCCAGATCAGGCAGGAACAGAAACAGGTGGCAGGATCCAGACTTCCAGGCATCCACAATCTCCCAGAAGGTTTCAGAGTCTGACAGGGTCCGAAAGTGTGACCAGGTGGTCACGCACAGGAGCAGACAGGATCAGGTGCAGCTGAGCAGGCTCAGTGAAAGAGGGTAGCCGAGACAGGACGTGGAACTAGAACTTGATGCAGGACTTTAAACTGGTCTCCTCCCTGGAGCCAGGCTTACTGGATAAAAACTGAACCTCCCCACATACAGAGCCAAAAACCCAGAGGACTCCGCGGGGGAGGAACACTTGACGATCAGGAGACGTGACAAACACTAAGGCCCCGTCCACACGAAGTCAAAACGAACACAAAATGCTAATATTTTCCAGAACGTTTGTCGTAAAGACAGAGACGTAAAATAAATGTGATCGTCCACACGAATGCATGAAAACGCTGCAAAATGTATGCCAGGCCTGTAAGTGGCGCTGTGGTGCCAAAGCAAAAATAGGCGACGAAATGTTGGGCATGCGCACTAATATTTATACATGGTTGCCCTGCAGGTCCATTTTCGTGGTTCAGTCAAATTCAGGTGCTGAACTATGTTGTCGATATTGCTCCGTTGTTCCTGGAGATATTCCAGAAGAAGAAGATTCTGTTGTAAGCCCGACAGCAGGGTGAGTAGCATGAGCAGCAACCATTCAACACAGTACGGCGCCATTGTTGTTGTGATACTGTATCGCACATGCGTGTTTAGAGGCAACGCTATGACGCATGCGTGTAAAAAAAAAAATAATGCGGTTAGAGCTTAAAGATGGAAACGCGAAAACGGCGTTTCAAAATCTTCCCACTCTGAAGGCTGAATAAAAAAAAAGATTGTTTACAGACCCCCGAAACGCCGGCTTCATATGGATGAGAGGCTGGTTTGGTGAAAAATTTGTGCGTTTAGGCCAGGGTTTGGCTTCGTGTGGACGGGGCCTAAAACCCTCTTTCCACTGGCTGCTAGGATCCAGGGCATGAACCAAGGCAAAAACTGAACAGACAGACTAACAGAAAGACAAGTAATGATCTGGCACTGAAAGCTCAGGCTGAACTGAATATAACAACGAGGAAACAGGTGAGAAGAATAAATTATAACTGAAGCAGGGAGGGAAAACGACAGGTGAAAGGAATGACTAATTAAGGAGGAGCAAACAGGCCAGATCATGACATTTTCTATAATTTTGAGATGTTTGCATAAGCTAGACACCACGACTTTTGAGTAACTTACACTTAACATATGTCGATCAGATAACTTACCTGTAACTTATGGCCCACATATGAGCATACGCTGGCATATGTCAAGAAATGTTAAGCATGCTCTAAATTCTCAACGTACTTGCCATATGCCGACTTGTACTCAAAACTAAACTGACCCATAACTTATTCAACGTATGCCAGCGTTTTAAGTGACATTTTTCGTATTTCAGGCACACTCTAATTCGAAGCTTAAACTTTTTATTAGAAGCAATGTTGGTTTTGTGTAAGAAATCACTGGTTTAATGATGCATAAACCTTAACAGTGGGCTGTTAGCTGTTAGGAGACACTGAGAGACAGATGTGACTTCTGCCTGTTAAATATTTGTATGGGGTGAAAAAAAAAGAAATGTTAGCGAAAGCATTCCTACCACTTTTGCTCTGGTTTCTGGAGTAGATAGATCTGCAGCACAGTTTGTGTTTAGCTCCTGAAAAAAACCAAAGAAAGGAAATAATCCCCACTCAAAGACTAAATTGTTTTTTCAAAGTTTTTCTCTAAAAAATGTTACACAAATAAAGTCAAATGTGAAGTTTGAACATATTTGAACCTGAAATACAAAAGAAGAAATAAACCACCAATTCTATTTACCTTAAAAAGGGCAAATGTGAAAAAACATGTTACAATCCAGTGGAAGTAAAACTCAAAACTCACCACATCTGGACTCCTCGTTGATTTTTCACCTAAACATGCACATATATTAAGATTTAGCTCCAAAGCACAGCTTTTTGAAAATATTAATTTTCCTTTAATATTAAAGTCTGCTCTCACCTTCCCTTTTTATCCACAGCATGATCACTATAACTGTGACTATGAGGGCTACTAAACCCACCGTCACAACAATGTATAACCACAGATCTGCAAGAGAAGGAAGGAAAATGTTTCAGCTTTATTTTCCTGATGAATACACTGCTTAAGTATGCAACTTAAGTTGTTTTACTCATGCTTTTTTGTTTAGCAGAAAAAAAAAACATCAATATAAGAGTGGAAGCAGACTTAATGGGGTTGCTGAAGTGTTTCTGACTGCAGGTAATGTTACGCTAGCACTTCTTCCTTCTAGATTTGTTGTGGTGTTCACATCCTCACCTGTAAATGTTTAAAACAAAAAAAATGCATATTTCCAATAGTTACAGACATTTTCTCAATCCTAATGCAGCTCTTTATAACTTACCAACAGATAGAGGGCGGAGGGTAAACACCTGCTCTCTTTTAGTTTGATCGTCCTTCACTTTGCATGAAAGCTGCTCACGATATTTAGAGTTCTTCTTAGGAAAACTATCTGGAATAACCATGGTAACAGAACATCTGGATTTCCTTGTGATCATGGTATCTTCCAAAGTTTTTCCCTCATACATCCAGTCCACTTTGTGTTTGCACATTTCATTTGTTGACACGATGCAAGACAACCAAACATCCTCGCCCTCTTTCTTCTCACTCACTGCCGAATAACAAAAAAAAATAGCTCAGAGTCACAAAAAGGCATACACAGAATAAAATAATGTGTAAACATACTTGTTATGAGAAACAGATAAGCAGCAGCATCATGTGGTTTCATTGAATGTATAGTTCTGCAGGTGTAGAAACCAACATCCTTATTAGAGACCCCTTTTATAGCCAGAGAGCAATTTTTTGTCATTTTCAGTCTTTCAGGGTTTTTATACACGTGGGTCTCTGCAGAAACAATAATTGTTTCATCTCGCAAATTATTGAACAGCCATGTAGTTTTTTCACATGTATCCTGATAATTTCTCCCGTTATTTTCACAAGGCAGAGTGACATCATCTCCATCTCGGACAACAAATCTGGGTGAAAATTGTCCTGGGACTTCTAATAAAAGGGAAAAAAGTAATATTTTCTATATTATTATATAATGAAATAAATTCTTATAAAGTCTGGAGAATTTTCTTCTTGTCTTACCTATAAGCTGCAGAGCCAGAAACAGAATTACTAATATCTTAACCCACTTGAATTTGCCTTTAATGAGCAGTTAGTCATGTCTCTTGTCGTCTGCCCCTTAGATCAAGGAAATCCTCTTTCAACTTCCTGTTGCTTGCAATAAGCCGTTTCTTCAGTTAAACTTTGTATGTATGTTGCAAAATGTACACAGGTGGAGCTCATAATCATTTCAAGTTATCTTATTGAATATTGAATGTGAAAAAAAAAGTTTAAATAGTTTAAATCTAGTCTCAAGCCTCAAAACGTTATTTTTATCAGTAGCTTAAACATGCTGAAGAATAAGACGTGAAAACGGTGATGAAAGGATGGGGGAGAACAACACGTCTCAGACAAAACTTTGCAAGAGTTCAGGTGACATGAAGAAACTGACTTTCTTCAGACTGATGCAGTTACACAACTGGCACATTAAATACATTAAATTCTAAGCACAAAGGTTGGCCCCATAAAAAAATTATGTGAAAGGTTAGTAGAGACAAAGGTTAAAGCGAAGCTATCCTAGTAACCTCTGTTTTGTATTGCTGGCAGTTATCTTTTTTAGTTGTGTTCAGCTGTTTTTTCTGTACACTTATAAAGTTAAATGTTTGACATGCCAGATACCACTTTTGGCTTTCACTTTCACTCACTCTGTGGATGTAATGAGAGTAAAGGGAGCACCTTTTTCTTTTAAGGACGAGAATGTTCCATTTTGGACAAAGAAGACATGAGGTTTGAGAGGGGCTTGAAGGAAGCCATCTATGTTAAGAAAGAAAAAAACAACCTTAAACAGAGGAGGTGGACTCAGATTTCAGCTTTCAAAAACCTACAATTCAGCAACTGAGTTAATTCCTTCCCATTATCACTGCAACCCCCACCCCCTTTACAGGGGAACAGAAGACATCGCCTATTCAGCCAGGCCAACAATTCTCTTTAACAACCACCCTTTCAGAGACATAGACAGGTATGGGGCATTGCAGGCTAACAAAGAAGCCAAACGACTCCCATTGCAAAGGTGTGGACCCGTTCCTCTGTTTCAATTTGCATGTTGTCTAAGCCAAAACAAGGCTTTGTTGGGCTACTGCATAAAGCTACGACGAAGTATTAGGGCCAGGTTAGAGATGTTTTTTACTTCTATTTCGGGAATAAAGTGGTAACATTATGAGAACAAAGTCGTAACATTACAAGAATAAAGTGGTAACATTACGAGAATGAAGTCGTAACGTTACGAGTTCCGTAAAAATTCAAAAAATATCCACTGGACTTGGTTTTCAAGATTTGAAGACGTTTGGCCACCTCTCCAGGAAGCTTTCTCAATTCAAATGTCTGGATCCGCAGTGAGTTTGAGTCTTATATAGACAACGCCTTATATCGCTTGGAAACATGCAATAGAAACCGATGAATGGGTCGTTAGTTCCATCGTCTGACTATGATGACTATGACCTGACGCAATGACTATGACCTGGATGACTGAGAACCTTCATCAGCGTAACGTTACGAGAATAAAGTCGGAAACTTATGAGAATAAAGTGGTTTACGAGAAAAAAGTCACAATGAGAATAGTCCTAAAATTAAACGAAACAAGTTGTATTTTATGACAACTCTTACAAGAAGCCCTTTCTTCCCTAAAATGGGGAATGTGGAGCATCATGTGAAGTTATACTTTGGCTCTGGTTTGATAATAAGGAGATCTTTTAGCACCAGCATCAAACTGGGAAGTAGGTGAAAGTTGACTCAGGTTAATGATTGTTGGAGCTGGCCAGCCGTCACATGCTTGTCGGAGCTCGAAGCTTTCTGTCTGTAACGGGTTGTTAAATGATAACAGCATTCTCATAATATTATCACTTTATTCTTGTAATATTACAACTTTATTGCCATAATATTACGACTTTATTCTTGTTACGGTCACTGACCTCTAGGAGCTCTCTTCATGAGAGAGCTCTCTGTTTGTGTTTCAGCTCTTCCTGGCTGTTACAGGTGCAATGTGTTGAAGCTCGTCAGCCACCTCATAAATAGCTTCAACCCTGAGATGTCAGGCCCCCTTCTCTTATTCACTGGGCCTTGATCTGAAGTGATCTTGTTCATGAGCTGAATGTCTCTGTGTGTGTTCATGTTGAACAACTGACTGACTGAAGTTTTGTTTTTCTGTTCACAGTGGAAGCTGGTAGGGGTTCTCTGTTTGTTTTTTTTGTGACGCCTGCAAATTGTAAATAAATAATTTTTTCCTGCTGACACCATCTTTTAGTTTACTGACTTTTGTGTTACACCCAGTGCCAGAATTTACCCTTTAGTGGTCTTAAGGGTGGGGGTTTTAACATAAGTGGGGGCTTGTCCGGGATAGGAACTACTTTTTGAACATGGAACAGTTTAATTGGAGGAGTTTTTGGGTAATCATACAATACAACAGTTTGATGTCTGTAGAAAAGATGATTTATATGAAATTGCTTCACATTTTGGTATCCGTGTCTCTAAGTCTTTGCTTAAATGTGAACTGAAATCTCTTGTCTTCAGTGGCTTGGTTGAGAAAAGAGTACTCCCAGTGGGAATGGATAAGGAGGAGGCCACCCCTTCTGAAACTGCTGATCAGTTTGAGGTTTGTGCTGAGGAGGGAGTGAAGACACCTCCTGTTGCTGCCAAGCCAGAGTTGGAAAAACCACCAGCCTCTCTCCCACGGTTTGAGCCTTTCTCTATGGAGTCCCCAAATCCTAGTGTTGAGGCACGTCTAAAGGTACGTCTGGTGCAGCTAGAACTTGAAGCTAAGGAAAGGGAACGGAAGGATGAATTTGAGTTCCAGCTTAAGCGCAGAAGAATTGAAGCTGAAACTGCCATCAAAATGCGTTCGCTGGCGCTGACAAGGGAAAAGGGAATGTTCTTTGACAGATGGTGCCAGGCAACTAAAGTTACTGAAAGAGGTTCAATATTTGCTGGAAAATGGCATGGATATACAAAGTCATAGCTCCTGGAGCTCTCCTTGTCTTCTGACACCAAAGCCTGATGGTTCCCAAGGTTTTTGTACAGACTATCAAAGAGTAAATGCAGTTACTGTCCCTGATTCGCACCCATTACCTCGCATGGAAAACTGCATAGACAGCATTGGTTCTGCCACCTATATCACCAAGTTAAATCTGCTGAAGGGGTACTGGCAAGTTCCCCTAACTGCCAGGACTTCTGATATTTCAGCTTTTGTCACACCAGACAACTTCCTACAATACACAGTGATGGCATTTGGAATGCGAAATGCACCAGCTACCTTTCAGCGACTGATGAACACTGTATTAGGAGACGTTCAGAACTGTAATATCTATTTGGATGACATCGTAATTTATTCATCATCCTGGAAAGATCATATTAACACTTTGAAGACTGTGTTTGCCCGTCTAACTCAAGCCTCCCTCACCTTGAATCTGGCAAAATGTGAGTTTGCCAAAGTGGTGGTGACCTACCCGGGAAAGGAAGTAGGCCATGGCCAAGTTCGTCCGGTGAATGCAAAGGTGGACGCTATCCTACGCTACCCTGTGCCCACCACAAGACGTGAGCTTCGGCAGTTCTTGGGTTTGGTTTGTTATTATAGATGTTCTGCAGGAACTTCTCAATGGTGGTGGCTCCTCTGACAAAGTTGTGTAGTCCAAAGGAACCATTCACGTAGACTGCTGAATGTCAACAGGTCTTTTCTATGCAGCGCTCCTGTATTGGCGGCTCCGGATTTTAGCAAGGCCTTTAAGTTGGAAGTGGATGCTAGCGCCACTGGGGCTGGAGCAGTGTTGCTCCAAGATGGAACCGATGACATCAGTCACCCAGTTTCCTACTACTCAGCTAAGTTCAAGCCTCATCAATTGAACTACTCCACAATTGAGAAGGAAACATTGGCCATGCTGCTAGCTCTGCAGCATTTTGAAGTTTATGTGGGTTCAACAAGTCCCGTTATAGTCTATACAGACCATAACCCATTAGTCTTCCTGAACCGTATGTATAACCACAACCAGCGGTTAATGCAATGGGCCTTACTGGCCCAAGAGTATAGTCTGGACATCAGGCATAAGAGAGGGGCCGAAAACGTGATAGCTGATGTACTATCCAGGATATAATGCTGTTTACCTCCTTAGAGTACATATGATGCTGAAGTATTATTTAATGAAGGATTTTATGGGGGAGGGTGTTACGGTCACTGACCTCTAGGAGCTCTCTTCATGAGAGAGCTCTCTGTTTGTGTTTCAGGTCTTCCTGGCTGTTACAGGTGCAATGTGTTGAAGCTCGTTAGCCACCTCATAAAGAGCTTCAACCCTGAGATGTCAGGCCCCTTCTCTTATTCACTGGGCCTTGATCTGAAGTGATCTTGTTCATGAGCTGAATGTCTCTATGTGTGTTCATGTTGAACAATTGACTGACTAAAGTTCTGTTTTTCTGTTTACAGTGGAAGCTGGTAGGGGTTCTCTGCCATTTTTGTTGAACTGTTTTCTCCTTGTTTTGTGTTTAGCCAGGGAGTCCAGGTAATGTATGTTCTTTTCATTTTCTGTGTTAGAAAGTGTTTTGTTTTATAAGTATAAGTTTTTTATAAGTTTTTTTGTGACCCCTGCAAATTGTAAATAAATCATATTTTCCTGCTGACATCATCTGTTAGTTTACTGACTTTTGTGTTACACCCAGTGCCAGAATTTACCCTTTAGTGGTCTTAAGGGTGGGGGTTGTAACAATTCTCATAATGTTACAACTTCATTCTCGTAATGTTACGACTTTATCCTTGAAATAGAAGAAAAAAAAAATCTCTAGCTTGGCCCTAATACTCCGTCATATAAAGCAACTCGACGCAATTTCTGACATTTTAATTGAAAAATCTTTCTGGATGGGAAGCAAAACATCTTCAGAATTGGAAACAAAGCCCAGTTGATTGTAAAAA